TTTTCGGATCCTTTGGTGCGCTCCCTGATGGTCGCTTACATCGAGTGGAACGTTTGTCAAATAGATGTAAGTCGTATGCTTGTATGATATGCTTCTCGTTGTGCGTTAGCTCAAACTTTCTATTGTTGAATTCGTTTATATCTGCGTTTCTTCCAAAAATATGTTGGACACTTAATTTTTGCTCGCCATACGTATTCAACGATAAGAAGAAATCGACATCCTCTCTAGTGTGTTTTCCCTCTCGCAATCTGTTTAAGCGTGCGGCAAACTCGGTCTCATCTTTTTGACGCATTATAGTTGTTAACTCAACCATTGAGAAAAGCTCCCATACGTTATCTTCAACCATTGTATTCAATGATTTTGTCTTTGCAAAACAGTATCTATCGGCTACCGGTGGTAACTGAAAAAAGTCTCCTACAAATATGACATGTAATTCTCCAAACGGGATGTGTTGTTTTCCTCGTAACTCCCTTAGCCGCCAATCCAACCATCGAAATGTGTGCTCGCCAAGCATTGAAACTTCATCGACTATAACAACCTTCACGTCACATAAATTGGACCGTAGCGTGTTCACTCGTTCTGATGATAGATTTGATATTGTTCGGTTTTGCGTAACTGGAATCATTAAAGCGTTATGAATAGTGTACCCACTTATGTTAAAAGCAGCAACTCCGGATGTCGCCAATTTCAACACGTTGAGAGATGTAGGGTCAGAATGAATCGTTGCGTTAAACATCCGTGTAATCCTTTCCGTCAAAGCTCGAATGAGAACCGATTTTCCCACTCCAGCTCCACCAGATATAAACAGACGAAGCGGTGTATAACTTTTCCGTATGTGATGCACGACATGATCACTAATCGCGCGTTGTTCCGCATTTAATATCTTCTCCAGCAGCATATATTCCGAACTGTCAACGTTGATATGCTTGAACAAATCAGTGCTCTTTTTAACAACATCTTGCATATTCAATTCGTTTGCAAGATCGATATGGTCAACTATATCATTTGAATCTTGTGTTTCAATTGATATGCGATCATCGTTGGCTTGTTCGACTTCTTTGAATGCATCAGCCCATGTATCTAACTCTTTTGTGAACTCTTGCTCTTTTGCAATAATATCTCGCTCAAATCTGTGATATGCATCAGAACATTCAGCATGGTCGATTGGCTCCTCTCGAAAATGATGAAACAATAAAACCCTCTCTCGAATATAATTGTTATAATTCTGATTCTTATGATAATTCACAAATCTTATTATCTTAGACTTTCCGCGCTTATAATAGAATCTCTTTCCTTAGTTAAGTCAGGACCAATCAAGTGTAATTTATGCTTGCTCGAATCGTATGGGGCCAATTCATACTTTGAAATAAAATCGGCCAAGCACGTATGTTCCATAGCTTCAGGCCTTAACTTATACTTTTGAATGCATGCGTAGGGTTCATACACGTCCGTGCTCGTTGATTCTAATTGGCGCAATTTATTAATAGATTTAAGGGTTAGTAGTCGTTCATTATGTGGTGATGTATTAATGAAGATGACTTGTCGTGTTGACATGCGATACTGTAACCCAAGTAGCAAATAGCATGCTTCTTGTGCGCTTATTTCTTGAGAATTCAACATAGCGTTTCCAATGGTACGAAGAATTCCCTTTATTCCTGATTTTTTATTACGAGCGTATGCTAAAGCCTTTTGCATCATGGTACTCATACCTTTATTTGTTTTTGTCATGTACGATACAATGTACGCTGCCACGCTATATGGATCAATGCACAACTGAATATCCATATTCCCATTCCACATTCTGAGAAGGGTGGGATTATAATTGTTTATGTAGACATCACTTACCTGACGACGTAGAATAAGTGTTGTTCGCTTTAGTGACGACCGGATAACAAACAGATATTCATCGAAAACAAGACTAACCTTTTGCAAAAAGACAGTGAAAGTGATATTACTTCTGGACGATGCACCATCGAGCCACTCCTTAACGCGTCTTGCATCACTCGCCAATTTTTGTCGCTCCCGTACAGAGAGGGTAGCAGGAATGGGATGTAAAAGCATCGTTGAAGGTAATGGAAATCTTGGAAAACCAAACCTACACTTACGTAAGGAACTCGATCGTTGGCAAGTTCTTAAGTGTTTGTGTGTTTGTAACGACAGCAATTGTGGATGTAAGCCTCTAGAGCTCGTACTAATATGTTTATCTGCGTACCTTATAATAGCGTCCGCTCCAGCGATGCCAATCTCGTTCGCACCTTTACTCCAAACAACGGCATGCGTATGCGGCGCGCCACGATGTTGAAATTCGTCAAGTGCAAAATAGTCATCGATTCCATCAAGAACGTCTGACTTCTTATTCAACATATAACAAAACAACAATCTCTTTCTATGAGCATAATATCGTGCACAAGTCACAGGGTCATTTCTTACCAACGTGGTAATCGTACTATACTGTAACGGTAAGCCTATACCGGACGGCAATTTACACGGATTCCCACGTAATGTATTTACTCTTAAAAGTATCGCATGAAGATCAACCCAGCGGGTATCTGCCATTGACATGGTTATAAAGAACGTTGGCCTACCGATTTGACGCAAAAGTGCAAAAAGATCGCGCTTGCAATTGTTTCTGTATTGTTGTGTTGAACGGATGACCTTAAAATCATTATATAAGGTATCGTTTTGTTGAAGCGTGAAACGCTTATTTTCGTTCAACATATCTGTCGCGGTAAATGCTTCTAGATTCCTAATTTTGTCTTGTCGTACACGCGTGGCAATTACATTTTGCACCTGTAATATCTCTTTTTTATACATTTTGAAAAAAATGTTGGATATATTTGATGAGCATCGCCCATTTCTATGCTTTAGTTCCCACTTTGCAATATCCGACTACGATACATGCAAGTCTGTTGCTGCACGCACTCTATGATTACCACCATAGATTGTTGGGAAACTCAATTCTTCGACATCTTTATCTAATATTATGGACAATGGTTTTGATTGCTCTCCTGGTGCCATTTGCACCAAGCTCTGTGATGGATGCTGATAAAAATGCTCTTGCGTAATAAGAGTGTCGAGTACACCAACGTTTACGCTATTCGTATCGTTGCTATCACTTGACTCTCTTGATGAAGAATCGCTTTCGGCATTGGCTGAATTCGCATTGGCTGAATTCGCATTGTCCATACGTGGTTTGCTGTGTATAGTGCTTAACCGGTTCAAATTAATTTTGTTTAAGACAATTTTGTTGTCAGTAAAAAGTTGTTGTCTACAAAGGAAGTTTATCGCTTTCAAGATTTTAGCAGGCCTCACGTTTTCCTCAAATGCGCTATGTTTGTACTCCATCTTGCGTTTCAATCTGGCCGTAACGGTATGTGTATCATCGAGCAACCTCGGTAATGGGGATACCATCTGGTTAACTTCAACTGGAATGTTGATAACTCCGCCTCGTATACCGTACTGTTTTCCAATGGACAATGAACGTATATTCATAAATGGTATGCGCGGACTTATTAAACGCTCTTCTAGCGTTGTAAGGTTTTTGAGTTCAACGGGTTGAGACGGAAAGCCTACTTTATTTAACGTAAAAAATGGCGGATCCTTTCCTTTCCTAATGTAACGTGCACAACTTTGACACACGATTTGTTCCGCATTTCCGTGCTTCGCCTTTGCCACGTTTTGTTGAAAACACATTGTTCCACATGACGGGCATGAAAAATCGGGTCCATCTTTGCATTTCTGCAAAAACTTCTCCGTATATTGATCCTTGTTTTGTTTTACCGGTACTGCTTCAATGTTATCGTCCTTGAAAATATCGTCGAGCTCTAGATGCGCGATAAGGCCACCGCTATCATCTAGAACCCCGTTTGTTAGATCAAGTATATATTTTTTTATGTTCACGAAGTTTGCTACAAATGAAATATGTTCTCGCCAATGCGGCATCTATGTCGTGCGCAAAACCTGAATGCGTATAACGTTTGCCATTACAATTCACCAAAAATTTAAAACCCTTTGCTGTACGTCTTACACCTATAAAGTGCGTGCTTCGTGGTTTATGATGCTCCACTAATTTCCTACAAAGACATAACATGGTCATCGAATTACGTGAATCTTTCTTCTTATATTGGTGAGATCCATTATTAACATTTGGTGTAGCACGGATTGGTTGCGTGTGATGACAAGCGCGACTGCTAGCGATGGTAGTTGCTGCGTCATCTTGATGATCTCGCCTTATATTGCACGAACTACTTGTTCCCTGCTTACTGTTATCTACGTTATCTTTTACTTCCTTTAGGCTATTACCCACACCACGAGAATTACTGTCATTATTAGCTCGTGCTATAGTAGCTGTCTCAGGTTCAACTGACGCGTATCTGGAGCCATATAAACTTCCATTGTTTGAAGGGAGTAGAAGAGAATAATGGCTCGCATCGATATCAAAATTCAAATGAAGTACGCCATGAAATGTGGTAGGGTTGCGCGCCCGAAAACATGCCCAAAAATGGGTTTTTCTTACCCAAACAATGACCGTCACGTTGAAAACAACTGAAAACGCCTTCACCTCATTGCTAGATCCCCATTCACCAGATTTAGAGGCGTGTGTGTAATAATCGATACCTGATAAAAACGGTCTATCGAATGCGCTTCTTGCGACGAGCCAGTACTCGAATTCTGGATTTCTCCAGTTCGCAACCACATGTCTCAATAGCCTATCTTTGACCTCCTCATACCTTTCTTGCGTGTTATGCAACCATTTTGACAAGGCTCGATATAGGCAATTTCCATCACCAATAATGTGTATCAGCTCGAGCCGATACACCTTCTCAAACTCACCGACTAGCGTTCCGCCGGTGATGATCATCGAAAAAGATGAACATGTTGAAGCCATGGGAAAAATCTAACTCTGTAGAATGTTCACGCAAACAAATATTGCTAGATGTGAAACATATACTATATAAATAAAGTTTGCAAACACATTGGTCGTATAAGTACCGCAATAAAAGTAACTTGTCTACACTTCAAAACACAGGAATAGAGAGAGAGAAGAGAGAGAGAGAGGAGAGAGAGAGAGAGAGAGAGAGAGAGAGAGAGAGAGAGAGAGAGAGAGAGAGAAGAGAGAGAGAGAGAGAGAGAGAGAGAGAGAGAGAGAGAGAGAGAGAGAGAGAGAGAGAGGAGAGAGAGAGAAGAGAGAAGGAGAGAGAGAGGAGAGAGGGAGAGAAGAAGAGAGAGGAGAGAGAGAGAGAAGAGAGAGAGAGAGAGAGAGAGAGAGAGAGAGAGAGAGAGAGAGAGAGAGAGAGAGAAGAGAGAAGAGAGAGAGAGAGAGAGAGAGGAGAGAGAGAGAGAGAGATAGAGACATTGAGAGAGATATAGAGAGAGATAGGGAGTAACGTGAGATTGAAGAAGAGTATTTGTATTGAGAGAGGGAGAGGAAAAAATGGAGAAACTGAGAGAGCAAAAGAGAGGGACATTTTGAGAGAGAAGTTGAGAACAGGAATGAAAGGGGTGAAAGCTAGAAGGAAGGAAATGATACGTACGAGAAGTTGGAAGGCACAAGCCGTGTTGCAGTGGCGTTTTGTAGATTCGGACGAATAAGGACTGCGGGGGAAAAGTGATCGAAGGGTTGAGTGTGAGAGTGAAAGAGAGAGAGAAAGAGAGAGAGAGAGAGAGAGAGAGAGAAGAGAGAGAGAGAGAGAGAGAGAGAGAGGAGAGAGAGGAGAGAGAACGAGAGAGAGAGAGAAGAGAGAGAGAGAGAGAGAGAAAGAGAGAGAGAGAGAGAAGAGAGAGAGAGAGAGAGAGAGAGAGAGAGAGAGAGAGAGAGCGAGAGAGAGAGCGAGAGAGAGAGAGAGAGAGAGAGAGAGAGAGAGAGAGAGAGAGAGAGAGAGAGAGAGAGAGAGAGAGAGACGAAAGAAAGAGGAGTGATATTGAGAGGAGAAAATAGGAGAGGGAGACGGAGAACAAGATATGCGGAGACATTGCAAGGCAACCACAGTGATGCTGTGGTGACGAGCACAAATTATTCCTTGGAAATATGAAATGCTTGAATGCGAGATTTGTGAAAGGAGTGACACATCTTATGACAACTTTTTTGTGCACCTAAATTAGGCAAAGTACCAAACCAAAGGTTACACATAACCACAATACCCTGCTGCCATTTTCATGACGAACAATATGCCATGGTTCATAAATACAATAAAGACAATTTCACCAACAAGCACATTTCGCCTCGTGAACACCTTCCTTTAGGTATACCCAAATCACAATTGATTCTAAAAACTACCATTAATTTTATTATGGATTAACAATTACGTACACGAGCGCTCACACGAAACGTGACCCAAAACGAATCTTCGAAATATGGACTATCTGCAAAATCCAACAAACATAGGCATAACAGGAAGAGCAAATAGCGTGCACTTAGACAGGAAACACAAATTTATACAAAAATCTGCAACCGTAGAAGATTATTTCGGATGGGGAACAGCAAAGGGTGAGAAACGGAGGGGACAGCAAAGGGGGAAGAACGGAGGGGGACAGCAAAGGGGGAGGAACGGAGGGGGACAGGAAAGGGGAAGGAACGGAGGGGGGACAGCAAAGAGGGAGGAACGGAGTGGGGACAGCACAGGGGAGGGACGGTGGGGGGACAGCAAAGGGGGAGGAACGGAGGGGGACAACAAAGGGGGAGAAACGGATGGGGGACAGGAAAGGGGGAGAAACAGATGCGGGACAGCAAAGGGGGAGAAACGGAGGGGGAACAGCAAAGGGGGAGGAATCGAGGGGGGACAGCAAAGGGGGAGAAACGGAAGGGGACAGCAAAGGGCGAGGAACGGAGGGGGACAGCAAAGGGGGAGAAACGGATGGGGGACAGCAAAGGGGGAGGAACAGAGGGGGGACAACAAAGGGGGAGAAACGGATGGGGACAGGAAAGGGGAGAAACGGATGGGGGACAGCAAAGGGGGAGAAACGGAGGGGGGACAGCAAAGGGCAGGGAACGGAGAGGGGACAACAAAGGGGGAGAAACGGATGGGGGACAGCAAAGGGGGAGAAACGGAGGGGGGACAGCAAAAGGGGAGGAACGGAGGGGGGACAGCAAAGGGCGAGGAACGGAGGGGGGACAGCAAAGGGGAGAAACGGAGGGGGGACAGCAAAAGGGAGGAACAGAGGGGGGACAGCAAAGGGCGAGGAACGAAGGGGGCACAGCAAAGGGGAGAAACGGATGGGGGACAGCAAAGGGGGAGGAACGGAGGGGGACAGCAAAGGGGGAGGAACGGAGGGGGGACAGCAAAGGGGGAGGAACGGAGGCGGGACAGCAAAGGGGGAGGAACGGATGGGGGACAGCAAAGGGGGAGAACGGAGGGGGGACAGCAAAGGGGAGAAACGGAGGGGGGACAGCAAAGGGGGAGGAACGGAGGGGGGACAGCAAAGGGGGAGGAACGGTGGGGGGACAGCAAAGGGGGAGGAACGGAGGGGGGACAGCAAAGGGGAGGAACGGTGGCGGGACAGCAAAGGGGGAGGAACCGAGGGGGGACAGCAAAGGGCGAGGAACGGAGGGGGGACAGCAAAGGGGGAGGAACGGAGGGGGACAGCAAAGGGGGAGGAACGGAGGGGGAACAGCAAAGGGCGAGGAACGGAGGGGGGACAGCAAAGGGGGAGGAACGGAGGGGGGACAGCAAAGGGGAGGAACGGAGGGGGACAGCAAAGGGGAGGAACGGAGGCAGGACAGCAAAGGGGAGGAACGGATGGGGGACAGCAAAGGGGGAGGAACGAAGGGGGAACAGCAAAGGGCGAGGAACGGGGGGACAGCAAAGGGGGAGGAACGGAGGGGGACAGCAAAGGGGGAGAACGGAGGGGGACAGGAAAGGAGGAGCAACGGAGGGGGGACAGGAAAGGGGGAGAATCGGATGGGGGACAGCAAAGGAGGAAGAACGGAGGGGGGACAGCAAAGGGGAGGAACCGAGGGGGGACAGCAAAGGGCGAGGAACGGAGGGGGGACAGCAAAGGGGGAGGAACGGAGGGGGACAGCAAAGGGGGAGAAACGGAGGGGGGACAGCAAAGGGGGAGGAACGAAGGGGGAACAGCAAAGGGCGAGGAACGGAGGGGGGACAGCAAAGGGGGAGGAACGGAGGGGGACAGCAAATGGGGAGGAACGGAGGGGGACAGCAAAGGGGGAGAAACGGATGGGGACAGCAAAGGGGAGGAACGGTGGGGGGACAGCAAAGGGGGAGGAACGGAGGGGGGACAGCAAAGGGGAGGAACGGTGGGGGACAGCAAAGGGGGAGGAACAGAGGCGGGACAACAAAGGGGGAGAAACGGATGGGGGACAGCAAAGGGGAGAAACGGAGGCGGGACAGCAAAGGGGGAGGAACGGAGGGGGGACAGCAAAGGGGGAGGAACGGAGGGGGGACAGGAAAGGAGGAGCAACGGAGGGGGGACAGGAAAGGGGGAGAATCGGATGGGGGACAGCAAAGGAGGAAGAACGGAGGGGGACAGCAAAGGGGAGGAACCGAGGGGACAGCAAAGGGCGAGGAACGGAGGGGGGACAGCAAAGGGGAGGAACGGAGGGGGGACAGCAAAGGGGGAGAAACGGAGGGGGGACAGCAAAGGGGGAGGAACGAAGGGGGAACAGCAAAGGGCGAGGAACGGAGGGGGACAGCAAAGGGGGAGGAACGGAGGGGGGACAGCAAATGGGGAGGAACGGAGGGGGACAGCAAAGGGGGAGGAACGAAGGGGGAACAGCAAAGGGCGAGGAACGGGGGGGACAGCAAAGGGGAGGAACGGAGGGGGGACAGCAAAGGGGGAGGAACGGAGGGGGGACAGCAAAGGGAGAGGAACGGACAGGAGGCAGGACAGCAAAGGGGAGGAACGGATGGGGACAGCAAAGGGGAGGAACGAAGGGGAACAGCAAAGGGCGAGGAACGGAGGGGGGACAGCAAAGGGGGAGGAACGGAGGGGGACAGCAAAGGGGGAGGAACGGAGGGGGACAGCAAAGGGGGAGGAACGAAGGGGGAACAGCAAAAGGCGAGGAACGGAGGGGGGACAGCAAAGGGGGAGGAACGGAGGGGGGACAGCAAAGGGGGAGGAACGGAGGGGGACAGCAAAGGGGAGGAACGGAGGGGGGACAGCAAAGGGGGAGGAACGGAGGGGGGACAGCAAAGGGGGAGGAACGGAGGGGGGACAGCAAAGGGGGAGAAACGGATGGGGGACAGCAAAGAGGAGGAACCGAGGGGGGACAGCAAAGGGGGAGGAACGGAGGGGGACAGCAAAGGGGGAGGAACGGAGGGGGGACAGCAAAGGGGGAGGAACGGTGGGGGACAGCAAAGGGGGAGGAACGGAGGGGGACAGCAAAGGGGAGGAACGGAGGGGGACAGCAAAGGGGGAGGAACGGAGGCGGGACAGCAAAGGGGGAGGAACGGATGGGGGACAGCAAAGGGGGAGAAACGGAGGGGGACAGCAAAGGGGAGAAACGGAGGGGGGACAGCAAAGGGGGAGGAACGGAGGGGGACAGCAAAGGGGGAGGAACGGTGGGGGGACAGCAAAGGGGGAGGAACAGAGGGGGACAGCAAAGGGGAGGAACGGTGGGGGGACAGCAAAGGGGGAGGAACGGAGGGGGACAGCAAAGGGGGAGGAACGGAGGGGGACAGCAAAGGGGGAGGAACGGAGGCGGGACAGCAAAGGGGGAGGAACGGAGGGGGACAGCAAAGGGGGAGGAACGGAGGGAGGACAGCAAAGGGGGAGGAACGGTGGGGGACAGCAAAGGGGAGGAACGGAGGGGGACAGCAAAGGGGGAGGAACGGTGGGGGGACAGCAAAGGGGGAGGAACGGAGGAAGACAGCAAAGGGGGAGAAACGGATGGGGGACAGCAAAGGGGGAGGAACGGAGGGGGACAGCAAAGGGGGAGGAACGGATGGGGGACAGCAAAGGGGGAGGAACGGAGGGGGGACAGCAAAGGGGAGGAACGGGGGGGGACAGCAAAGGGGGGAACGGTGGCGGGACAGCAAAGGGGGAGGAACCGAGGGGGGACAGCAAAGGGCGAGGAACGGAGGGGGGACAGCAAAGGGGGAGGAACGGAGGGGGACAGCGAAGGGGAGGAACGGTGGGGGGACAGCAAAGGGGGAGGAACAGAGGGGGGACAACAAAGGGGTGAAACGGATGGGGGACAGCATAAGGGGAGGAACGGAGGGGGGACAGCAAAGGGGGAGAAACGGAGGGAGGACAGCAAAGGGGGAGAAACGGATGGGGGACAGCAAAGGGGGAGAAACGGAGGGGGGACAGCAAAGGGGGAGGAACGGAGGGGGGACAGCAAAGGGGAGGAACGGAGGGGGACAGCAAAGGGGGAGGAACGGTGGGGACAGCAAAGGGGAGGAACGGAGGGAGGACAGCAAAGGGGGAGGAACGGTGGGGGGACAGCAAAGGGGAGGAACGGAGGGGGGACAGCAAAGGGGGAGGAACGGGGGGGACAGCAAAGGGGGAGGAACGGAGGAAGACAGCAAAGGGGGAGAAACGGATGGGGACAGCAAAGGGGAGGAACGGAGGGGGACAGCAAAGGGGGAGGAACGGATGGGGGACAGCAAAGGGGAGGAACGGAGGGGGACAGCAAAGGGGGAGGAACGGAGGGGGACAGCAAAGGGGGAGGAACGGTGGCGGGACAGCAAAGGGGGAGGAACCGAGGGGGGACAGCAAAGGGCGAGGAACGGGGGGGACAGCAAAGGGGGAGGAACGGAGGGGGACAGCGAAGGGGAGGAACGGTGGGGGACAGCAAAGGGGGAGGAACAGAGGGGACAAGAAAGGGGGTGAAACGGATGGGGGACAGCATAAGGGGAGGAACGGAGGGGGGACAGCAAAGGGGGAGAAACGGAGGGAGGACAGCAAAGGGGGAGAAACGGATGGGGGACAGCAAAGGGGGAGGAACCGAGGGGGACAGCAAAGGGCGAGGAACGGAGGGGGGACAGCAAAGGGGGAGGA